GAATCATGGAAGTGTAGGAAATTCTAAAAGCAATATTTATAGGTATTTCATCATCAAATATTCTTGGGCTATCCATGAGAAATAGAATAGGAAAGCAACAATGACAAGGAAACTAGTTGTGGAGAACGAGGGATTTGAAGTCAGAAGGTTGGAGTCTTGTGCTGATGGACAAGGTCTTAAACCTTGTTCTCCTGGATCCTTATTTTGGGAATGAAAATGAAGAGATTGAATTACACGGTTTCCAACATCCCTTCAAAGCTTAAAGTTTACAAGTTAATGATAAGTAACATTTAAAAAAGAAAAAAAACTTTTTATTTTCTAATATGAACAGATATCTTATGCCCAATAATGTTTATTAAGCTCTTGAACCATGCTCATTGAACTTTCTGTTAATTAAATTAAATGTCAAGAAGTATGGATTCAGAAAACAGTAGAAGTTATATTGTTTTTTCTCTCTCTTTCTCTCTCTTTTTTGGTAATTTCATTCTGATTATTTTGCTTGTTCAGTAAGTTATATACTATTCAGAGGCCATTCTATTCGTTCCATAGCTGATAATTAATAATAGTAATAAAATAAAACTCCATTAAATGAATCATTAAGTAGAATATGAATATTGAGGTGTTAATCTTTTTAACACCCCCCAAAAAACCCATCCCTTAAAAAATCTGTTTCCTTGAGGCCTCTAGAGAAAGAAAAACACTCAGAAGAACATAAAAATACATTTCAGGATAGTCTCCTGAGGGTCATTGTAAACCTACAAAGAAAAAAAAAGTAAAAAGGTAAATTTGCCCATGTTGATTAGTCTGGTTACAGTTCAATGGTTTATTGGTTCAGTTGAGAGTTGTTGTCATCAGGAGAGGCTGTTGTACATCAGCCTTTTGCTGAATCTGGCAGAGTGAGACATTTTGCTTACCTTCTTTCTTTTGTTCCCAAAGCTAATTGCTATGCATTTAACAAAGCCCCCGTTAAGAACATCGAAGGACCCTCTTTTGAGTGGATAAGCTCTTATTCTGAAAGTACTAACATTATTGATTCTTTATGACTGTCAGCTACTTACATAATTATTTGAGGGTATCTTAGGTACTTCCCACATGCAGATTGCTGAGAGTCACCAGATAGTCCTGGGCCTTGCTTTTCTGGCACAATCTTATTTTGAGTTATGCTGGGAACACAATCCTCCTCTTAGAGAAGCGATAGATCCTTCACCCTAAGAACATGTGAATGAACGCTTTGCCTCTACTTCTTTTTTAGTAGTAGACAATCTCATTTCATGTCACTAAGGACACATAAAGAGTTATAATGGTTTTACGAATATGTAGTCTCATAACATGCACATTATCAAGTCTGACTTAGATTCTCTATTAGAAAAATAATTGTTTTCGTCTCCACATACCCATATGACTTAACAGACTTTTTAAATAACTTGTCCTGGATGTTTTAACTTTTATTTCTTGAGAGAGGAAGCCACTTCCTGTGTTTTTAAGTGAAAATACTTGAGAACAATCATTAGTTTTATTGACTCTTTGAGCAGAGGTAAAATATATATAAATGAAGGGAATGTATTGTGTGCCACTTCTTAAATTTAAAATAATAACAGCTAACCTACTTAATACTTGATCCTCTCCTAGAACATAATCTGAGAAATCATTACCTTAAACTAAAAAGAAGTCTTTATTTTAAATTTATGTAAAGTAAAAACTAATTTTTTGGGGGGGGAAGATCTCATAATGTATCCCAGGCTAGCTTCAAACTATTCTGTTTTCTCTGCTTCCCAAGTATTTGAATGACTGGTGTGCACCACCCTAACCATCTTTTAAAATTATTTTCATTAAGTACACTGAATTATAATAGAAAATATTTAATATGACTCCCAAAGAAATTTTAATACACTTAATGTTAATTTTTCAGTTCAAAGTTTGCTTGATCTTGACTATCCTGGTTAAATAAGATTCCTGGGAATCTTATTTAAAAAAGAACTATCATCATGGAAATCTTTGATAACTAGGTAATTTTTATTTAAATGATTTACTTTCCCCTATGTACACTTATTGTTTTAAAAGTCACTTTCTCATATGGTTGGTTAATTTAATAGCTGTTTTATGCAAAGGGAAGTTTATTAATTTAAAGAAAACACAGAGGCTCTTGCTCAAGTAATTTCTTTATCTGATTAAATAAAAGCAAATACAAATATGTCTACTCAGATACTTCTGCAAATAATTCTTGGTGATAATCGGAATAGGCAAGTAATTTAAGTTATATTTTATATCCTTAGTAAGTGAAATTTGATAACAATATCCTTTCAATTTCTTTGGAATTAAGTATTGCTAAACATATTTATTAGACACTTTGTATGTACTAAACTACATTTTTCTGTGGAGAAGAGTGTATTTCTCATAATTATGTATATGAGACCCTTTTGAGAGTAATTAGGAAAAAAAGTTCAAATATGTATCCACTTTAAATGGTCAACAGGTGACAAAAAATAGCCCACTTGACATTTTTAAGGATGGTTAAACAAACAAAACATGAACATTAATACAAATCCACCAACTAACGTAAGCATTTTTCCGGGGAGACAATGTTCCTGCAGGTCTATAAAGGCAGTACACCAGTGAATGCCATTCAGGATCTCCTAGTTTAAGTGTGTCCACTTCTGGAGAACTCCAGTCTAAGAGAAAGATCCTTGTAGAAAACAATCTGAACCTAATAATCAATAGAAGTAAGTAAGAGGTGCTACTTCCTGAATAGGTTCCTCCCTTCTTGGGACTGCTTCATGGATTGAGAACTAACAGTTTTCATTCACAGGAACCTAACCAATTAAGTGCTCCCTCAGGTAATCTATACACCTTCTAGTTTCTTAAACTGCTTTTAGATTTTCATAAACCTTTTAAAACCCATATTTTAAAGTATACAAGTAGATTACTCAGTTCTTGTTCAAAACAAGCAATTTGACCAGGACGGGTGGCTCACACCTGTAATCCTAGCTCAGGAGACTGAGACTGGAGGATTGTGCAAGAAAGTTCATGAGACTCTCTCTCCAATTAACCACCAAAGAGCTGAAAGTAAAGCTGTGGCTCAAGTGGTAGACTATTAGCCTTGAGTATACAAGCTAAGGAAGAGTGCCCAGGACCTGAGTTCAAGTTCCAAGACCAGAGTGTGCACATGTGTGCATGCGCACGCATGTGCTCACACACACACACACACAAGCAATTCACCCTATCACATTTGAATTTCTGATTATATGACCTATTTTGAGAAATAAATAATCTTGGGCCTGTCATAGTGGTACATGTTTTAAATCCCAGAACTCATGATGCTAACCTGGAAGATCTGTAATTCCAGGTTAGCTTGGGCTACATAAGTTGTCTCCAAAGAGTGTAGAGGGGTTTGGAAGAAGGAAAGGAAAGGAAAGGAGAGGAAAGGATAGGAAAGGGGAAGAAAGGAAAGGAAAGGAGAGGAAAGCAAAGGAGAGGAGAGGAGAGGAGAGGGGAGGAGAGGAGAGGGGAGGGGAGGAGCGGAGAGGAGAGGAGAGGAGAGGAGAGGAGAGGAAAGGAGAGGAAAGGAAAGGAAAGGAATCCTGGAAATTTACTTCTATGAAAGTATTATAGTCTATTTTTAATACCCATTTTTCTTTCTAATTTGCTTTGTTTACTTACCTATGACTTCCATATGACATATATCCTGAACAGTAACAGTATCTATCTATCTACCTACCTACCTACCTACCTACCTACCTACCTATCTATCTACTACCTACCTACCTACCAATCTATCTGCATAAGGAGATTTTTTTCCAGTTCTTTAAATTATAAAAACATGTTTACTGAAACACCAATGTAATAAAAACATTTTTTGGCAACTACATGTTGTATTTTTATAGGAAAACTATCATTCTGAAGCTCCAGTGCCACTATTGAGTTATACAGAAACTTGAATCTGAAAGGAAAAACAAAGATTCTTAATCGCTAACATTTTTTGCCCATACTGTTATCAAAATGGATTAAAAGTTTATCCTAAGTCTACAGGCATCTTGGCTCCAATCATCATCTAAATGTTCTCATTGCAGGGCAGCAAACCAGGGCTAGTGAATTTCAGTGCAGCATGCAGTTAATTTATAGCCTGGCCCTCTAAAGGTTAAAAACCATGATTTTCTAGTGTGTTTCCCCCACCCCAGGCCAGATAAGTTTACTTTCTTAAGCGTAAAAATAAGCAATATATCTTTTCAATAAATCTGCTAGCACTGTAGGGCAGCTGTTAACCAAACAGAGCTGGCTGGATAGGGTTACTCGAAGGATCTCTGAAGGGCAGAGCTGATGTTCTGGAGATCTGGGAAGAATTTGTTTCAGCTTGTATTCAATGCATTCCTTACTTTCTTCAGACGAGTGAAGTAGCTCAGATGCAATCCCTCTGAATTTAAAATCAAGGTAAAAATTTTTACCAGCCTTTCAAGGCCCCTTCATGCAAAACACAATTAGTGAACATCTAAGACTGACTACATGGACGTTTCCATACTTCAGTTAGGGCGAATGTCTGTGGGGTAGGGCCTTCTCCTCTAAACTGCATGTCTTCCGTTTTGCCAACTGCATGCTTAAAGTTATTGATTATTTTACACAGTGCAGATTATTTCGTATGTTGCATAAAAAGCATTTTATTTTCTTTCTAAAATATATCTCTATTGAACATTAACGTGTTTGCTTTTATTTCAGCTCAATTTGTACTCTAATAATGGCTAATTGTTATGTTCTAAACACTTGTTTCTCTGTATGCTTTAATTAATAGAGAAGCATATTGCAGTAGCTTTTTTCTAAGAAAAAAAAGTCCAAGAATTTTGCTTTTCAGAATAAGATTTTCTTTTGCTTTTTTTTTTTTTTAATTTAAGTTGCCTCTTGGGAAAGTAAGGTTAATGCCATATACAATACTACTTTGCATGTGTTCATTTAAATACTAAAAACTGTAGTACTGCTCGATCCATATCTGACTGCTAGGTTTCAATTGACAGCTGAGGATTTGTGACTGGACCATGAATCAAAACGGCAGGCATTTATACCCCAGTACCAGTGAGGATACATTGGGAATTACTTGGCAAAGGTAACATTTTAATTATTTCCAACCCTACACTTACACCTAAAAATTACATGACCTATAGTGTTTGTGTTTAACTAGTTTTGCAGAAAATATATGTTAAAATTTAGTTGTTTTGGCTTTACTACTCCTTTCCCCCTACCTTCTCCTTTATTGCTTATTTAATGCAGCATCAAATTAATTTGGGACTTATAGCATTATGCAATCATTGAAATTTCTTGATATTGTCAAATGTTTGATTCAACTTATAATATTCTTGGTGGGGGGAGGGAGTTTGTTACTTAGGTTTCAGAATCTGAGGGGAGAAAAAAAAAATCAGCCTAGTCAAGCTTTTTTAGCTCTCCAAGGAGAAAGCATTATTGTTACTATTTTTACATTATACATTTTTCTTATTTCTACTCTTTCCTGCTAACTCTGAGTTGTTTTACTTGCTCTTCATTTATTCCTGTCAGAGGAGAAAAAACTAGAGGAAAAAATTCAAGTTAGGCAATTTAGCCATTTTTCCTGGCAGTACCCATAAATTCTGGAAAGGGAGCATTCTTGGAATGCTCAAGAAGGACTTTTGCTTAAATAGTGTTGTAATTTCTGTTTTGTGTGCTGATATGATGCACAGAAGAATGACTTCCTTTATTTGGCGAGGAAAATTACTCAAAGGCTTCATGTTCAGAAGTAGTTTTGATATTTTCTCGTGTATTGGTTTCAGAAAATATATAGTTGTAAGGTAGCTTGTGATGCACTATCTCAAAAAGAATTAATTTTGTCAAGTACTTAAAATTAAATAGATAAAAGACATGACATAATCAGATAGAAGTGATAACAATTTGCCGGAGAGTAAGGTAGTCCTTGAATTCACCAAGGGAACCTTTTCCCTGCTAGGACTAATATTGTTGCTTTACTGACAGTGTCTGTGGAAGTGAGATTTTTGTTGGAAACTGCCAAGTCAAATTAGTGGAATGTCTTTTACTCAGATAGAAATCAAGAAAATAATTGAGGTTCTGTTTTTAAAAATCAATGACTTTTATTAACCCTTACATGATGACTCTATGACGCTTCCTCTTTCGGATGAATGATGTACCATTGGCTTTAAAAGTAGATACATTTTACCTATTGTGACTTTTTCCCCAAGAAGCTTGTATTATTTCTGCTTTAAATGTTAGAATCTAGTTTGAATAGTCTTGATGTATGATACCAATTAAATTCAGTGAAAGTGTTTTAAGGTCTGAATTAATAAACCTTTGTGTGTGGGTATGTGTGTGGGGGGGTGTTACTAGAGTTTGAACTCAGGGGCTTGGTAGGCACGCACCTCTACTTCTTAAGCCTTACCCTCAGCCTTTTTGTGTGAACTATTTTTGAATAGGGTCCTTCTTGCATTTATGCTCTGACTAGCCTGGACAGCTATCCTCCCATTTATGTTTCCCATGTAGGTAGGATGACAGGCACACATTGAGATTGGGATATCATCAACGCCTCCCTCCCCCCCACACCCATGCTAGCTTCATATCTGGATCCTCTTCAGTCTCTGCCTTCCAATAGCTGGGACAGGCATGGGCCAAAAGCACCTGACTAAGATGTAACTCCTCCTAGCTCCTAGTAATTTTAAGAGTCAGAAAATAATAGTGGCCGGTGAAATCACTGAACACACACATGGTAGTGAAGTCCTCTGTTATCTAACAGTTCTTAGGAAAGTATTATTCATGTTACAGATCCCTTTGCTTGCAAGAAAACTGATGTAACAGTCAGTCTTGGGTCATAAAGTAAGTCAGAAAAAAGAAAATCAGAATTTATTAAGATTTCCTTTTTGTTCCTTCCTCCCAAAAAGAGTAATTTTTCTTTAGATCAGTACATAATTATATGTGGAATGGCCCTAATAACCAATGAAATGCTTTAAAAGGTAGCTTTGAGTTTGTTTCTGCCCTCTGAAGTATGACTGACAGGCACATAATCAATGGTGACCATATAGGGTCAATACATTCTGCAGGTATTTATTGAGTCTCTGTTGGACCATCCTAGACTCTGCAATGCACATCCACAGTTCTTTAAATCCCAGTAACACAGTTCACAATAAATATATTTGAGACAACAGTTTGCTTTGTTACTGGTTTCAACAATGGACACAAATAGAGTACACACTTTATAACACAAGTATGCCATGTCTATGGTACAGTATACTTTATATTGTATATGTATAATTTATAGTTTGTGCCCATAGTTGTTTTTCAAACTTGGCATCCTTTTCTCAATATAATGATAGAAAGGGAAATCCTAACTGTAGCAGTGCCTCTTTGAAGGCAGGCCCTATGCATCTAAAATCTTCAGCTTTAATCTCAATAATTCGAACCTGTTTGTTCAGCCCGTAAACTAGAGGATTTACTTTTCACTTGTTGGGATAAAGAAAATTTCACAGGATATTTTCGTTGCGGTTGTTGCTTTTCGTTTTTAGCAAAAGACAGTCCCTGGAAACTTGTAGTTAGAGAAGGGTAAAGCAAAACAGGTGTTTCAGTTTGGCTTTATTTTATTTGGATCATTGGTTGCCTGTCACCGTCCCAATGGCCCATGGTTGCCTTCTTTTTTGCTTTGTGCAACTGGTCTTCCTGAAGTGTTCCCATGTCAAATGGAGTGCCTTGTTCTGTACTGAAGATGGCAAGGTCCCAGGAGCTGTGCAAGTACTATAGTCAATGCTTTGAGGCCTCCTCCTTCCTTTCCACCCCAGCATGGCAGATAGACACACTCTAGGAACCCAAGCTGACTCCCTTAGAAAGCTTTCACAGACTCTCTAGTTTGCGATCCCAAAGGTATTTTGTTGTTCTGACTTTAGAGTTTGATGATCCAGTTCTGTCCTTCTCTCTCTGACCCCCATGTCTTCCCCCACATATGTGTGCATATGAACTATGGAGTTATTTGCACCTGGAGAAAGGGAAGTTTTCTGCCCAAGAAAAATTATGTTACTGCAATTGTTAACCCAGAATGAAACGTTGAAGCTCTGGCTTCTTCATTTGGGATGCATTCGGGCTTCTAGGATAATAGGTGACAAATTGTTTAAACTGGTTACTTTTGTGTTTGGACTTTGTACTCCTGTGTGAACAGATCACATTGTTTTTGCACACGTGAATTATGTGAGCATAAACATGTAGAGCAGCTCCTTGAACACTGCCTTTCTTGCTTACAACCATAGCCAGGCCTGTGCTTATACTATCAAATATGGAAGCACAATATAATTGAATGAAAAAAAGAAAGCTGAAGAACAATCCAAAAATAACACAAACATAGTTATTTTAAAACATTGGAGGGAGTGATTTATGCAAAAAAGAAACAGGATTTATTGTTTCATTTTCCCTGCTCTCCCTTCACCCCTTTCAAGAAAACGCAAAGCCACAAGTGAGCGGTTGTATGTGTCTGAAGGCTTATATAAACATAGAAGAAGCCTTCAGATGGCTAAAATAAACATGTGCGTGTTACTGAAGGATATGTTTACACAAACCATTTGTTCAGCCTCTGAAATAATGAATAAATGAAGATTTTACTGAAATAATTGGAAGGATTTTTGTGTTCCTGCGGATGCCATAATTGAATGGCACCAAAGAGACTTTTATCAGCTATTTTCCATGTTACATGTGTTAGCAGTTCCTTTCTAGGAGTTGAATACTTCATTCTGTACTTACTTTACACGTGTTTTTGTAAGAAATTGTCGTTTATTACTGCTATTCTAGAGAGTTGCTTGATTTCCCAGGAGAAATTTAGCAGCCAGTAAAGGTTATTTGGATGTGTTTGGTCAGGAGAGAGAGGGCCAAAAAAGAAAAAAAAAAAGTAATAGCATTCATTTCATGCATGGAACTATTTGCATAACATTGTCCACTACCATTGACCATTTTTCCTTGTTGTGACCATTAGCTTTGTAAAATTTTTGCTTTTGAAAGACTTAAGAACGAATGCTTAAACAGAAATAATTTTCAATATTGGATTGTAAACCTTATGTTTTGTATGTCCGTACATGAGTGTGTTTATATATGTCTGTAAGTATACGAGTGTATCCACAGGTACATGATAAGGGAAGTACTGTCCATTCTTAGGTGGACTTAAGAGTTAACTTTTTTTCAGTGTTAGACTTAGACCATCTCTCTGAATTCACTAGGTTAGCATTTCCTGCTCTCAGTTTGTTATCTTGACACATAACTATAGTACAACAGCTGGGTTGTTCCTGAAGTTCCTGGGGGGAGCTTTATTCTCAGAGTGCTGAATTTCCTTTTCAGCTGTTAGCTCTAACGTGTGTTCAGAATGCTCAACTTTTTATACACCATTCTGAGCCCCTAGCACCACTCTGGGAGGGAGTGAAATGCTGATAAGGGAGATGAATGAAAGAATCTTTGGTTCAAGGTAGAGAATTGCAAAAGCCAGAATTGTACATGACCATTGTTTAGTAACAGGGCAGCTAACTGGTGTTGCTCTTTGTACTTGAATGTTCTTGAACAAAGAATTACTTTCCTGTCCCATCAAAATTATTTGCACCTGTTATGACAGCAAAACTAAAAACATTACCATTGTTTTAAAGAACTCGATGTAGTTTTCACAGATACACAATCCCTGTGATCTGGCTGTTGGAAAATATATTAGGAATGGTTGTATTTTTTTTTTTTTTTTGCCTAACTTTCTCCGTTTACAAAGCAAGATTTGTACAACACGAAGTTTCCTTTTTATCTAGGCAAACTCTTCAGAACACTTCCTAAGAAATTAATTGTATTCCAGCCAGACCTGCATGCTGCCATCCCACAGGAAATGGGTCAGCAATCCATTAAGATGCCATTAGATAATCTAATTTGGAACTTAATCTCTAAATTAACCATGCTCCATACTTGAAGCATACTTGAGAGAAAGAAAAAAAGTTTACGTTTGAATCGATAGGGGAGCCGAAGCGTGAAGAAGGCTGTTTGTTTTTTCTGTAGCTGTGGTCACGTCTCAAGCCGTCTGGTTACCAGGAGAAACCAGACATGATGTAATTCCAGATTGAACTT